ACAACTCTTTGAGTACGGTTATCCAGCGAGTTATGCACCCACCTTATAGTAGCCCCATCTAAATTGTATTTGCTTAGTTTATCGATAAGAATATCATGCGAGACCATATCAAATGCCTTACTAAAGTCTAGGTATACCACATCCACAGCTTCACCCTTATCCACAAGGCTCGTTATCCTATCAAAGTAAGCTATCAGATTGGTTTGGCATGATTTGTTCTTCACAAATCCATGCTGGCTGTTCCCTATCACCTTACCGCCTTCAAGTGTTTGCAGATGATTTCCTTAATTACTTGCTCCATTATCTTCCCTGGCACAGAAGTTAAACTAACTGGTCTGTAGTTTCCTGGGTCGTTTTTATTTCCCTTTTTATAGATGGGCACTATATTTGCCCTTTTCCAGTCTTCTGGAATCTCTCCCGTCTCCCATGATTTTCCAAAGATAATAGCGAGAGGCTATTAGAGAAGTATTTAGAGACCATATTGCTTCCTGGTTAAATGAGGCAAAAATCCTGTTTGTTGTAAAACACCTAATGCCTTTACTGGGAGTTGAGCAGGATTGGGAGTATGGTGAAGTGAATGAGATTTGCAAAGAGTAATTATGAAAAGTTTTGAGTAGGGATCTTGGCTGTATTACTCCCTCTCATGGGTATGAATACTATGGTGGATGGATTGATATTTGTTGGATGGTTCGGTTTACTGGGGAATGAATTGGAGAAAGGTCTTGTATTTGAGTGCTTTCATCTACTGGAACTTTGGGGGTGTCTTGTGTTGTGTTATAGACCCTTGCACCTGCTTTTGAAGTCCTTGCTCACCTACCTAACTGGCAGATAGTCATTCAGTGCCACTGCAGGATAGCTGAGAGGGTTCGACAGCATTACAATAAATTTAGCATATAGAGGCCTGGGGGTTGGCTGAAGGGGCTTGGATTTTCTGTTACTTGCTGAATTAGGCAGGGGATTGGACAAAATAAGACCACAAAAGAGCAAGGGTAATGTAGCTAATATTAATCACACTACTCTAGTTTGTAGTCTCTTCTTTGGTGTACTGAATATTGGTTTTGAGCAACTTAACTCTATAATAAGCTGTTATTAAAATAAAGTTAATGCTTTTCATGATAACGTGCATGTGGTATAAGACCTGTCAGGATGACTGCAGGACTGTTGTTACTCCAAATGTTTCCTTCTGAGTTCTCGGCTCAGCATGAGGAAAAACAGGATTGGGGAGGTGTTGTGGCTGTACTGGTCACATTTGTGTTTAAATGTAGGATATTTTCCATCCCAAAACTACATTCAAGTATAAGAGTGAGTCATGAGAGATCAAAATGGAAATTCTTTCTTAGTGAACAAGCTGCTACAATACACAGTAGTTTCTAGTCAGGCTGGTTGGATTCCTGTCCATTTTGGATGAGCAGCCTTGAAGATTACCACTGAACATTGAGTCAGCAGTCAGATATCATGGCTTCCGTTATAATCATGGGATCATCCTGGGTGATTTCAAGCTCAGTGCATACAGATACCACTGGATCTCAGTTTTGGATGGGGATTAGAGGTAGAAGTGTGGAATGAGGGATGTGAAGATTATCTGTTATCATGGAGTATTATCACCTCCTGTTTTAGTAGCAGTGCTCACCTCTGCCCTGGATGACTAGAGAATTAATTAAATTATGTCTAGTCTTGGAAGGATTACATTTTTATTGATAAATGTTGGTAAATGTCCGTTAACTGTACGCACAGAAACTGACAGAAATCCACTGGTGATCAAAATTTGCAGATAGACAAAGTAAGAAGAATGCTCTTCAGAATTTTAGTTTGATGTAAGGATTTTCACTTTGTGTATTTCTTTTGACATGTGGTGTTTAGCAGTTATAAAGCTTTTAATTTTTTTAATCTGTCTTATTAAATAATTGCCTAACCCCCTCTTTGCAGCTTTGAAAATTTAAATATTTAAAAATAATGGATAAAACCCATAATTTTGCACAACTGTGAAAACTTAAATTGATAAAATTAAAACATGGTTACAAATAAACTGATATTATCCATCAGTTTTTTAAAAATCGATTTCTGACCACCCTAATGATCTCGTTGCACATACAAGGAAGCAAAACTGGAACAGCTGAGAGGGGAAAGGGAGATTGTCAGATTAAAACTTTTTGTTTTTATACACTTTTAACTCAAACAGTTGAGAAGATGCATATATTTAGTAATGGGATTTTATGATATAAACTTTAGATTACGGAGGACATCTTCAAGCAGTTTATATCAGTTTTAAGAATAGGCCATATTATTGGGCATAAACATGTGGCAATCTTCCTTTTAAAAGTTACTTTGGTTTTGGTTCTGAAGTTATAGTTTAGATGCCAGTGTAAAGAAATGAAGTGTGGCTAGAATAAGTTTCCTTTGCTGCTGTTGCATCAAATTGTTTCCACAGTTATAAAACACTTGCTGTCAGCCATTTTTTTTTCTTGTTTTAACATTTACATCCAAGGGTAAATTCATCCTATGGCAAACTTAATAATAAGAGCAAAACCATTCTAAACTATAGCTCAAGCAATAATAATCCATCAACTTATTTATAAACAACATTGTTACTATTTATAAAACTAGTGTCATTGTTTAGTTTTATTGCGAATAGCCAGAACTCACTGTACATCAATTAAAATAAGTTGTCATTTACTATTGCTGAACTGTAATGGAATGCTTTGCTGTGCCAGTTGTTCCTTAGAAACCATAGTTGTACACAGCAATAATTTTAATCATGGAAATTTTTTAAACATATTTTCAAATGGTGGGGTGAATGTAAAAATGAATGAATAAAATCTGATTAGTAATAGTTTGACAAAGTTAAAACAATGACATCTCAAGTATCTTACATTCTACAAAGATGAAGATGATTTGATTTATGTTGTAGGGGATTTGAACTAACCTTAAGGTGTTTAATTAAAGAATATAATTAAATACGGTAGTGGGGGAGATAATATAAATATCTGGATAAAAGTGCTCCTTATGAAATGTATCTCCTCTTAAAACACCATCACTTTTATGTAAATGACTAAGACATCAAGCCAAGCTGTACTTGTGTACCTCAAAATGAGACAAAACTGTGACAGAATAAGTCATTCCCATCAATGTCAATTTAAAACATTCTGATTCTCTACAGTTCATCACTTTTATGAACATTATAAAATAAACACCCTCCCATCTAATAGTGATAGTTTATTAAGTTTTGTGCTGTATTTCTTCCAAAAAATATTTGCAAAACTTAAGTAACCAAACTGGTTACATGTATTCTCTAAAGATAAGCGAATAAGTAATAAAGAATGGGATTGTCTCAAAATGGTTTGCAGAGAGTATGAGGTAAAACTTAATACGGCTGTATTTTTTCACTGTTAGAGATTTATCAGAAAATGTTGAAAGTGAATGCTTGCTTTGAGAAATCAGGTGATATCAGTGAAAAAATGATATTAAAACTTTCAGCCAGTTTTTTTTTCTTGCTGCATGTGTGCAGAGTAAAGCCTAACACAAGGATATGATTGACTACTCAGTCTTGTTCGGTAAGATAGCAGGAGCCAGGAAGGGATGGGAGACTCTAGATATGACCTCCTCTTGGGCTCTCTCAAGCAGAGGCTGTAGACCTGAAACATTGCTATGGGGGTGTGGGAAAGAAAAGATAGGAACCCACTAAAAAGGTGACCTGTATCTCCCAAAGAAAACAGCATTATTTTCTCAGGATAGGGTTGGCTTCCATTTCTTCTAAGCTTTTTGTCTAAACGCTCCTTTCCTTTCCCTGGTGTGGTCATTTTCAGAACAGACTTATTGGTCAAGCTGTCTGAGGAGGAATAAAAGTTTGGAAGAGCAGAAAAACGCTCAAGAACTGAAAAGTGATCTGCTCTTGTTTTTCTCCATAAACTTTAGTCTTTTTTGGGAGGGTGGGCTCTGGTTCTGTTATGTTCTTGAGTACTTTATTTCTCCACATCTAGATGATTACATACCCTACAGGCTAGCCAGACTTTGGGGCTTTTGTAGGCATTTTTGTAGACCAGTCTGGCAGACTTCAAAGCCAGGGCTACTGTATAGACAATAAAATGTCAAAGTAGTTGAAAATGGATTCTGATAGGTGGATTCTCCCTCCTGTGGTAAAAATTCATGAGAGATGGCCAAGGAGGAAGTAACTTCTGCAAAGTCCCCATTCTCCCCTTCTAGTGGTGTTCTCTGGATGTTTTATTGGGGTGTAGGGTGAAAATTGTCCCACTCACTTGTGGAATGAATCCTTGGGGGGAGGCCCATAATGGTTTTAGAGCCTAAGTGATTTTCCCCATCAGACCCTTCCCCATGTTCCTTGAGAGCATGGCTCCACCAGAGATGTGCTGCCCGGGACTTCCCTGGTCATGGTGGCACTGGAGACACCCCTTGACAAGAGGGATCTTAACTGTAGAGGGGGTTCCATGGAAGATGTGATACAGCCCCAGTTTTATATAGTTGTAGTTATTTTCCAATCAAGACTAAATGTTGTGGTGTTATAGGTATGAATTTGAAGAAATAAGTTGCTAACAGTAGATTTGTAATAGTACAAATTAGTTTTAATTAATTAGTCAGTCATGAATTTCCCATATGATTTCCTTGGGTAATCTCAGTAGTTGGGGTGATCCCTTATGTCCTTGGAAAATAATGGGAGTTTTGTCACTGAATTCAAGGGAAGCAGATTTAGTCCCTTTTAACAATGTAGCAAAGACAACGCTGCCCTCCTCTGTATAACTGTCTCAATGAGTGTGTCATTGATAGTAGGGAAGAAAAGCTAATTTTGAGAAGTAACTAAATAGAGCAAAACATTCTGTTTTAACTATGAAATTGTACAAACCTACTGATCTAAACCTAGTTCACTGAAGAACTAACTTTGACTTTAAAAAATGTAACTAATTGGATTTTGCCATGTGAGGCGAAACAAAATATTTTTGTCATATGTTGAATACGGATTGAAACATAAATATAAATGTTTCTTCTAGTCTTACTAACAATTCTCGGATTGTGGGTCTGCTGGCACAGCTGGAGAAGATTAATTCAGAATCTTTGTTGGTAGAAGCAGACACTGCCAGATATGTTACCTCAAAGATCCTTCATCTGGCTCAGAGTCAAGGTAAATATTTTATTTTACTTAATGTTTTAAAAATTGTCCCTTCTTCTCTTTCTACGCCTCATCCCAAAACACACTTGTATATAGCATATTTGACTGCCACATTTCAGCACTGAAGTTCTGTTGGTGTTTTCTCACCTCGTCCTTCAAAAGAATTTCTATATTCCTGTTTTATGTGAACAAACAGTGAGAAGTGGTATTTATTACTTGTCTCTATGTACTTGCATGTGGAACACAAGATTCTTCTATCTCAGTTCTTCATAATCTGACAGTTTGCCATATTGTACGGTATTTTTGGTCTCCTAAGAGTACTACCACGAGTAATTCTATCAAAGTAAATGACAGTACTTGTCCTTACTACTGTATTTAGGCATTCACATTTAAAAAAATAGAGAAGCAAGCACTTGTATTGTTGCTTAAGAACATGCTATATAGAAATGATTTTTGTTTTTTTGTAATTTACCTAAAAGGGGGAAAAATAACAAAGACACAAGTATTTTTTCTGCATCTCTTGGCTGAAGAAAAATGTAACCTTGAAGGTCTTTGGGTAAAAGATTCTTTCTGGTACCCTAAAAATACATCCAGTAATACTCTGGAATAACAAAGGAGGAACCTCATTAATATATAAAGCAGCTAACTGATCAACAGAACTTCCCAGTACAGCCAAATCCATTGGAACAGCCTGGCAGACAGAAAGGGAATGGCAAATATCCCAAAGAATGATGTTGAGGTAGCTTTATTTCTGACATGCACCACAATGGAGGCATCTTAGTTCTTTTATTTCCTTCCTTCCTTTTGAATTCAGATTCCCCTTGCTCAAGTGCTGTATGATCTCAGTTTATTTTGCTTCTGTCTGGGAGCAGGATCATTGGTGTCCACAGCAAAGATCTTTCAGTGTGTGTGGATTTCCTCTCAAACCTGTGACCTTTTCAGAAGAATTGAATTTTTAGTAACTGGAACTTGTTGTCCTTCCTTTTTAAGGAAGACTGAGGAATGTGCTAAATCTGAGTTCCTGTTGTCTCCTTTAGATTGCATATATCAATGCATCATAATTCCAACCTGCCATTTTACCATTCCTTTCCCCAGTTCCTCAGTACTGTAGGCGAGCAGTCTAGCTAATCTTTGGTGGCTTACCTAAGAACATAAGAGTGGCCATACTAGGTCAGACCAGTGGTTCATCTATAGTGTCTTCTGACTGTGACCAGTGCCTACTACTTCCAAAGGAATGAACAGAACAGGGTAATTATCAAATAATCCATCCCTTGTTGTGCAGTCCCAGCTTCTGACAGTCAGAGGCTTAGGGGAACCTGTGCCAGTACCTTCTATGCAGAATTTTCTGCCCTCCTCCCAGTCCCCTTACTGGCACAGTCCATCATTCTATCTCCACCTTCCAGTGGCTTTCTACAGTAACTCATCTGAATGGTCTGGGTCAGGGGTCGGCAACCTTTCAGAAGTGGTGTGCTGAGTCTTCATTTATTCACTCTGATTTAAGGTTTTGCGTTTAAGTAATACATTTTAATATTTTTAGAAGGACTCTTTCTATAAGTCTATAATATATAACTAAACTATTGTTGAATGTAAAAGTAAATAAGGTTTTTAAAATGTTTAAGAAGCTTCATTTAAAATTAAATTAAAATGCAGAGCCCCCCAGGCCAGTGGCCAGGACGCAGGCAGTGTGAGTGCCACTGAAAAGCAGCTTGCGTGCCACCTTTGGCATGCGTGCCATAGGTTGCCTACCCCTGGGTCATACCACTGGCTTGTCTGCTTCAGAAAAAAATCCAAATAGCTAGAATCTGCAGAGGCAAGCTTGAATTTCTCTCCTCCCATGTTGTGTCTGTGTGCACCAGGCTGGCCTGGTGTAGGCTGCCATCTTTGTGGCCTGTTAACAGTTCTCCACAGATCTGTGAAGTAAAGAATAATCTAGTGGATTATAGCAGTGGATCTCACTGTGACTGGTTGGATCACATGAACCCCCTTGGGAACTGACAACTGATGTGCCAAGACTACTTCTGCCCCTGCTTTTCCTGCCAGCCTGGGAATCCAGCATCCTGTCTTGTTGAGCCAGACATGCCAGTCTGCTCCAACATAGACCCAGGGTCTAAACCACGTGTTCCAAAGCTGCAGACTTAACTGAAAGCAACTTAAAGAAGTGTTTCTGTCTTTAACACTCAGATGCCCAACTCCCAATGGGATCTAAACCCCAAATAAATCTGTTTTACCCTGTATAAAGCTTATTCAGGGTCAACTCATAAATTGTTCGCCCTCTATAACACTGCTAGAGAGAGATGCACAACTGTTGGCCCTCCTTCCCCCCAGGTATTAATACATACTCTGGATTGGTTAATTAATAAGTAAAGAGTGGTTTTATTAAGCACAGAAAGTAAGATTTAAGTGGTTCCAAGTAGTAGCAGACAGAACAAAGTGAATTACTACGCAAAATAAAATAGAACACGCAAGTCTATGTCTAAGAAAACTGAATACAGATAAAATCTTACCCAGTAAGCTTCCATTTACAGACTAGTCTCCTTCTAGTCTAGGTCCAGCAATCACTCACACCCTCTGTAGTTACTGTTCTTTGTCCCAGCTTCTTGGGGTGGAGAGGCTACCTCTTGAGCCAGCTGAAGACAAAATGGAGGGATCTCCCAGGGGTTTAAGTAGACTCTTGTGGGTGGAGACCCCCTCTTCTCTCCTATGCAAAGTCCAGCTCCAAGATGGAGTTTTGGAGTCACATGGACAAGGCATGTGTCCATGCATGACTGAGTTCCTTACCTGCCAAGCCACATTCCTGGGAAAGCTCCGATGCGGATTGGCGTCTTCGAGTTCATTGTTGGCTTAAGCGGTTCTTGATCGGGCACTTAATTTCCACATTCCTTTTTCAAGAAGCCGACCAAATGCTTTATTAGAGCTATCAAGCAAATATACAGCCAGTATTCCTAACTTCAAATACAAAAATGATACATGTATTCAAATAGGAAGAATGTGTTCAGTAGATCATAACCTTTACATAGATATGTTACATGGCATATGTAGCATAAAACATATTCCAGTTATATCATATATACATTCATAAGCATATTCCCAGGAAGCCTTATGGGGTACACGGTCACCTGTGACTCAATGTTACAATAGAAAAATGTTTCAAGAACTTCTTCCCATGTAGTCCTAAAGAAAGGGAGAGTCTTTCTTGACCGACTTCAACCAATTTGTGACCAATTAGTTGAAAATTCCTGACTCTCATCATCAGCCTCTTAGTGCCACTGTACAAGCCAAGTGGCTGTAATCCTGCCAAAAGATAAGTATTGGGGAAGAAGTGCCACAAAAATGGTATAGTGGTCAAGCCACTTCTGAAGGGTCTATCTATACAGTGCATTTTCAGACAAGGAAAGATGCCCAAACACAGTATTCTTGCCAATCTCTTTTGGTATTCTACAGTTTCAGCCTTGTCTTCAGCGGTATTGTTCCTCGGCCTATTCAAGGTGATCAGGAACTGTCATCAGCAAATAGTTATAGAAGTGTCAGACTTAACTTTTGCCTCCTCCCAAACAACGCATCCCATTTCAAGTTAGTAATACCTTATTAGAATGGTTAAGTCAGATGGGGATCTGGAGGATTAATTATCACTTTTCCCTGGCAGCCTTTTTCATTCTTAGCGTATCCTAAATTTCTTGTGCCTTTTTATATCAAGAATTGGAAGTCTTCTACAGGGACTATCTATGTCAAGATGCCTGAACCCAAGCTATTTCCTTACAGAAAGAGTCTTATAAATTTATAAGAGATGCCAAAAGTGGAAGGAAACTATTAAATGCATTTCTTAACGTTGACATGTTTTCATTGCTACATTTTAAATATGTCAATTCAAAAGATCAGGTACAAATACAAATGAATATTTCAAATGAAGTTCAGATTATGGATATTTTCTTCTGTTTTTTCAAAGTCATCCCTCCTTAGCCCTGGCCGCCATTAGTCCCACTTTAACTTCAGCGGATGTTTTAGGCATTCATAAAGTTCTCAAAAATAATAGCAACAAACAAAATTTTAATGAGCCTTCTGTTTAAACTGTTATGTCTTTTCCTTGCCTTATTTTGTACTGCTTTACAGAACTCTTGTCTGGACAGGTGACATTTAAATCTCAGAAATAAAAACAAATTACGTAGCAGTTCAGGTTACGGTATTAAGAGCCCCCAGTACAGAAAACTTACATTTGGATGATTTATTTTACAAACTATTAATGTTGGAGATGTTAATTATTTAATTGTGGCATTGCTTGTTACATGATATGGGTTTTTTAAATACACAGAGGGACATAGTGCTTGCCCCAAAAAGCATACAGTGTAGGGTACCAATCCTGCAGACCACTCATGGTGATAAAATTAAGCATATGCAGTTTTTGCATAAGTGTTTACAGGCTCAAGGCCTAAGAACTTTATTCATAAATAATAGAGATCATCGGTTACTTATGACAAACTTAACAAAATTTCTCACAAACTGGGAAGGAGGTGTGGTTTTGGGATTTATTACCTTGAATACCAAAACCTAAATTACCACGTAGGTGTGGTGTGTTTGTTTATAATTTGACTAGGGTGACCAGACAGCAAGTGTGAAAAATCTGGACAGGGGTGGGGTGGGGTTGGGTTAATAGGCACCTATATAAGAGACCCCAAAATCGGGACTGTCCCTATAAAATCGGGACATCTGATCACCTTACATTTGACTAACGGTTGGCATGCCTATTAGTGGTTGACTTTGTTGTGGATGAAGTTTTTCAAGCTATTTCATTAATTTTCTCATGCACTAACTGGGGGATGGCAAAGAGCAGATGTTTGGGATTTACAGTGTGTGTGTGTGTGTGTGTGTGTGTAGATATGTAATGTGTGTGTATATATGTGTATGTACTCTTGTACATACTTACTAGACTTTTACATATATGGTAGGCTTCTATGATAAAGGCTAATTATATAGTGTGTGTGTGTATGTATATATGTGTAATATAAAAAGCTGCTTTA